CAGCTCAAGAACATTTAAAGTTTGCATCTTAGAAAATGTGCTGTTGAACTCCCAGTGAATGTGTTACCAGAGAAAAAATTACAGCTTCATCAAATTATAAAGCTTCTACATTAAGGACAATATCCTTCGCTTACCTGGAAATTACCTGGCTATGAAGGCCAGACTGAAGGCAGAAAAACAAAAGTGGGATTTTTCAAAACTGCTGTGATGGCCCAAGAGCTCACACTGAATCATACACATTTACCATGAGTTCACTGTAAACAGAATCTGTGCATGTCCATGGGGCAGAAGTCTTATCCTAGTTTAACACCAGAGGATAAAAGGAATTTTAAGTTGTCTAGTGCAACAAAACCTTGATGACTCAGCTTGTTTTTTCTTTGGGCTACAGATTTAGGATCCTAGCTGTCAGCCTTCTGATTTGAAAAATCCAGGATTATGTAAATAAGATATTTCCTTAAGATAACGTTTTGTCCCAGTATACTTCTGATTTTCATTAGAGTTTTCTGATACTTTTCAAAAGGCAGCAGAACCTACAGTTCCTAATATACACCTAACTGCCAAAATCCAGTACTGCTTTCTGCTCCCCCCAAGCACACCTTCCTCCACATACCATTTCTTGTACTTGGGATACAGCTTCACATCGTGTTTGTCACAGGCTTCTTTCAGAGTCTTGTGAAAATGAACGGCGTCCTCTTCATTCAGGTAAGTTGGAGTGAGGTCAGTCCCACCACCAAACCACCACTGTTTAGTTCCTATAGCAGAGGCAAGCAACAACATTTTTCTTTTAAACTTCTGAACAGCAACTTGTTGCTAATTATTCACCAGGAAGTAACAACTACTTTTACAATACAAAACAAAATCATTTTTCAGTGGTATCCCTCCCTAAACTTCAATAGTGAAATATTTGACTACAAGGTAGCACAACAATCAGTGACTTCAGAAAAAGATGAAACAAACTTCAACATAGTGAAAACCATTTTGGACCACTGACCCTGACTATAGGATAACGGTTTCACAAAATGGGCTGGTGACTCTTGACATAGCTGGGAGCAAACTCACACTGGTTCTTGATCTCTTACCCCAGCCATGCATTCACACTTCCTTGGGGCAGAGTAAGACATTTCATACAGTTCTCACTGCACTATAATCCTTACCATCTGCTTCTTCAATTTCAAAGTATCTGTAGTTGAAGTGCATGGTTGGAACATGAGGATTCTTTGGATGGATAACAGAGCTCACACCCATGGCGCAAAAAGGCAGCTTCCCTAGATAAAAAGATGCACAGAGAAAGCCCTTCACTTTTTCAATAAACTTCATTTGTTATCATTTAAGGAATATCACTATTTTCCCTTAGGCTCCAAGCCACAACAGAAAATTGTCTCATGTTGGGTCACCATAATTATTAATTGGTGGACAAGTTATTTCTCATCCATACACTTCTGTGTACCTAAGTCAGCTATTTCTTTGGCAATTGTTCTAAAATGTGACAGTACTTTGGAGAACCCACTAGATGAATACCACTTAAAACATAAGGTACTGCTAAGACTTTCTACCACCCCCAGTCCTCACAATTACCCTTTGTTACACAAAGGTGTGTTGAGTCCTTTTTGACCTTCAAATGTTGGATTTCTCCCTCCACCTCTTTGGTACATACTTCCTGCACTGTTTCGCTACACTGTCATTATTGAGAAGCCACATGTGCCTACAATACATTCCTCAAAGCAGCAAGACAGAGACAAGCACTCCCGTACCTGGCTTTTGAGGGACATGAATGTCCGTCCACCTGTCAGGCTTACTGATTAGAAATCATTATGATACAAGTGCAAACCTTTTAACTATCAGTCTGGCTTTCCTCATGTTCTACTCAAAGGCCAGGTTGTTTTCAGAGTACCTGAATGGGAATACTCAGGTGAACACGTCCCGGCTCCCTATCCCAACTGCGCGATAGACGCCTTACCGTCCTTGGCCTTCAGAAATTTCCCCCGGCTCCGCATCTGCCGCGCTGCCTCCTCGGACAGGAGCCCGGACACGACGGACACGTTCACGCCCGCCTTCTCGAAAACCTCGCCATCCTGCAGCACGCAGCTGATGCCGCCTCCGCCTGCCAACGCCAGGCTCCAGGTCAGGGTTACCGAGGGGTGACCGAACCCGGGCTGCCGGTGTCCGCGATCTCCCCGGCGGCTGCCCGGTACCTACCTTCCTTCCTTTCCCAGCTGTCAACGGCGAAGGAGGCGCCCGGGTCCAGGTCGGCCAGGGCGCGACACACCTCCGCCTGCGTCTCCATGATGAGCAGCTCCATGCGGCTCCGCAGCTCCCGCCGCCGCCGCCGCAGCTCCCGCAGCCCGCTCACCGGCGGCGCCATGAACCGCTGCCGCAGCTCCTTCTCCTCCTCGTCATCCCGAGCCGCCGACAATGCGGCTTGCCGCCGCCACAGCCCCAGCGCCAGCGCCAGCCCGCCCAGCGCCCCCGCGGCCGCCAGCGCGGTCCGCCGCTTCCCCTGGCCCGCCGGCCCGGAGCCCAGCGCCCGGGCAAAGGCGAGGGCGGGCGGGCCACAGGCAGCGCTGCGGAATAGACGCACTGCCCCCGCCATGACCGGCACCGGCGCCGCAGTGCCGGCGGGGCGGAGCGGGCGGGGCGGGGCGGGGCGGGGCGGAGCGGGCGGGGCGGGGCGGGGTGGAGCGGCGCGGCAGCCGCGCCGGGTATGAACGTGTGTCTGACCACGGAAACGATTAGGGAAAGCACTTCTTAAATCATCTCGTCCGGTCTGTCGTTTATCATCACACTGTCAGCTAGACCACAGGGCACTGTCTAGCACGTCCAAACTTTCTTTAAACGCCTCTAGGGACAGTGACTCCACCACCTCCCTGGGTGGTCCAATCCATGTCTAATCACCCTTCCTGTGAGGAAATTCTTCCTAATGTTAACCTAAACCTTCCCTGGCACAGCTTAACGCTATGTCCTCTTATCATGTCACTGGTTGCCTGGAAGACAGTAATCCCCACCTGGCTACAACCTCCTGTTAGGTAGTTGTAAAGAGTGATAAGGTTACCCCTGAGCCTCCTTTTCTTCAGGCTGAACAACCCCAGCTCCCTCAGCTGCTCCTCATAAGACTTGTGCTCCAGACCCTTTACTAGCTTCATTGTTCTTCCTTGGACCTGGCCAGCACCTCAGTGGCCTTCCTGAACTGAGGAGCCCTGAACGGGACACAGTGTTTGAGATGTGCCCTTACCAGTGCACTTCCCTAGCCCTGCTGGTCATGCGAATTCTGAAACAGGCCAGAATGCTATTGGCACACAGCTGGCTTGTACATGTCTGTACAAGAAAGCCCATCCACACTGACTGCTGTGAAAGAGTACAAGCTTCACATAATCGTCCCATCTGGATCTGGGCTGCCCATTGTGTGAGGGTGCTGTGACAGGGAGAGGCATAGATGGATGCAACACTCAGGTGCCACACCTTGCCTGGTGCAGCTTTGGGAGAGGGGGCTGTGCAGTCCTTAAACCTTGTAAAAAGCATCTGCATACTGTTTACAAATAACTTGATATTGTTGATGCAACTAAATGGGATTGCAGAATCATTTTGTGAGTAATGGCTTGTGTAGGGCCAGGCATTGCTGGAATAGGGGTAAAGTTGTATTTTACTGAGCTGTCCCTGTGAACCATGTGGAATTGCTCTTCTGTGTATGGCATTTCTGTTTTTCTACTCTAGTAATGAGTTTTTAGAACCCAAATAGTTTGTGGAACCACCAGTTTAGTGCAATAGTATTATTTCCCGTGGATCTTGGAGGGCACGTGCTTATACATCCTTTGTTCTTTATAAGGTTGAAGCCCATTTTCTTCCCTAATATAGTGGTGGAACTAGAGACATGTAGTGAAAGGGCTTTGATCTCTTTGCAATTACAGCTATCCCTATGGTGGGATAGCTTGCATGATTGCATGAAGGGCTACATTCTGTTTAGGAGAAGCAGACCAGAAAGGTGCAGTGGTGGTTTCTCTCTTTGTGAGAGAGCACTTGGAATGTATGGAGCTCTGCCTTTGGGTGGACAACAAGCAAGTCAAGATCTCACAGGTTAGGAAAAAAGAGCAGACTAATAGGGGTAACACTGTTGTGGGTGTTTGCTACAGCCCACCTGAGCAAGAGAAAGTGCATGAGGTCTTCTCCAGGCAGCTTGAAGCAGCCTCACAGTCACAGGCCCTGGTTCTGGTGGGGGACTTTAACTACCCTGACACCCGCTGGAGAAACAACAGGTGACAAAAGTGGTTAAGAGTCTGGAGTACCTCTCTTATGAGGAAAGGCTGAGGGAGCTGGGTCTGTTCAGCCTTGAGAAGAGATGACAGAGAAGAGACTTCATCAGTGTCTATGAATAACTGAAGGGAGGGTGTCAGGCTCTGCTCGGTGGTGCCAAGTAATGGAACAAGAAGGCATTGAGTAGAAACTGATGAACAAGAAATTTTACCTAAAAAGGAGGAAGAACTTCTTTAATGTGACCAAGCATGGTAACAGGATGCCAGAGAGAATGTGCAGTCTCCTTCCCTGGAGAACCATCTGGACGCATCCTATGCCATGTGCTCTGGAATCGCCCTTCTTGAGCAGGGAGGTTGGACCAGATGACCCATTGTGGTCCCTTCCAACCTACCCAGCCTGTGATTCTGTGAAAATAAGAGCTCAGAATAACAAAGAGAAGGTCTGTGTAGAGCCAGGTGTTGAAAAGTACTGCATAGCACAAAAACACCTCAGCCCTGCAAAGATTGCAATTTAGTATGGGACTGTTCATTGGAAATAGTAATCTGGTATTTCTGAACTGATTTGTACCTGTAGTGCCAGAGCATAGATCAGTTTCAAGTGTGGAGATTAATCCCTATTATGCATCTGGGCTTCATTATCTGCCTCTTTTCACTGCAGAGTATTTATGTGGGAGTGTCTGTCTGTATAAAGTGATAACATTTGCTTGAAGGCATAGTCCATCTTCTCAATTCTGATCTGGTTCTGCTTTTTGGCAGCAGAGGATGCTGTGAAACTGCTGAAACTCTGTAACGAGGAACGGATCTCAGCTTGTCTCTCTGAGCTCACCTCTCTTTTGCCATCAGCTGGAGAATATGATATCTGATGAGCAAGGAAACCCGACCCGGTGGAGGTAGGAGTGAAGTATTAAGGGAGTTCTGTGGCTTGTAAAAAGTTTGGAAGTGCATAATGCATACTGTTTATCATAAAGATGTTTAGATATACTCAGTAGATACAATTCAAGAAGAAACTGAGTTTTCACTGCTAGCCCTGGATAAAGAACTGTGGAAAGAGCTGCTTAGAGCAGCCAAAATCCCTCAGATGGTAGTGCCCTTCCAAGCTCTTTACTGTAGTAAAGCTCTGCTCTTTCAGTGTTTTTTTTTTTTTTTTTTAAACACTATTAAAAACAAATAAATGTCGGGGCCAAGACATGTAAAACACATTCCTGCTGATTTAATATATTGGTGGGTTTTTTTCTGTACTAGGTTGAATGCAATCTTTAATTAATAACATCTGGTAATTCAGCTGGATGGGACCTCTGGAGGTCTCTAGTCCAGCCCCAGGGGTTCACCATTCCCAGGCTGGATGAGGTTGTGCAAGGCCTTCCTTGTCCAGCTGCAGTTAGAAAAACCTCTTTCCTCATTTTGCCTGGGCTCCTGCCTCAACACTCCACCAGCCCCACCAGGAAGAATCATGGTGAGAATTTCCTTTGCTGCAACCACATTGCCAGGTCAGTGTCTTGCTCTTGCTGCTGAAGTTTAAAAGCATGACTGCTTTACACACTGGGATTGCTCAGGCTGGATGCAGAAGCCTAGTTAGACTTTCACTCTCTGATGGTGGTGAGGAGTGACAGAGTGTAAAACACTCACACTGTTTCTGTGCTGAATCCTGTCATGTTAGCATTTTGCAAGGACATCCTCTCTGGCAGCATGTTAAGGCTGAAATGTAAGCCAAGTACTGATGTGACTGAGATGCTCAGCAGTGATATGAGGTAAGAAAACAACAGTTCACATTTTGACCTGCTTTTGCAGTGCATAGTGGTGGTGTGTAGGGTAGACCTTTCTGTGGAAATATGAAGGGAAGAGGAAAAAGGCACTTGGAGTTTAGCTTAGGGCCAAGACAAAAACCTGGAATTGGTCTTGCATTTACCGGAACAAGAATTAAATCTGAGGAAATGTACCTTTTGCTTTTTTTTTAGAGAGCTACATGAAATTCCAAGGTTTTGGCCTCCCTTAAAATCCCCATGTCAGTTTTAAAAGTTTGACTGAAAATATGCATAGTGAAATGACTTTGAATACTTTGTCTCTTAGTGTGTTGTCCATTTTCATACCTGTATGTGTTTTGCTGTAAGGGTCTTGCAATAGGTTTTGTTTTCAGTGACAGCAAAGCCATGTAGATTTGCTTTGTAATCAGTCTACTGGTGCAAGTTAATGTGAATCTAGAGAAGGTGTAGGGCTACAGTGATTTCAAATAGATTTCAAGAACTGGACTCCTATTTACAGTATTATGTAAGGTGACCTCTTATAAAATAAGTATGCTTTTAATTTTGTGTTGTTATTGTCTTTCCCTATACTTTGAAAAGAATTCTGAAGCTTCTCTGCTACTGTTTGTATTTAGGTGTCATCTACCTTTGTTTTATTTTTCTTTCTACGGAGAATTTATGGACAAAAATTATATTAACGAAAGAACAAGAGACACTGTGTGTTCTAAGGTAGCAAATCATGACCAGGTCTCATTGAGACTGAGACATGTACGTGCTTTCACTGAGGCTGTTGGACACTTTTGATTACTAAATTAATGCAGTTGCTTATCAGCAAATAGGAAGAAAAAGATGCACTGAGAACAGAAAAATTCCCCATCGATTGACATTTCTCTTCTGAAATCGAAAGAGCCATTTTCATCCAGTTTATCACATAAAGTATTGATTGTGACTTCAAAAAGATTTTGAGGGCTTGCAGTTAGACAAGTGCTCTTGTTTAACAGAGGTCATCTCAAAGGTTTTGCATGACACTACAAGTTGAATTAAGTTATTATCTCAGTTTAACTCTCTCAGTGAGAGAGAAGTGAAAGCTTTGGTGACTGAGCTGAAACAATAGGTGTTGTGAAGGTTGTAGGAGAGAGATGAAAACCTGTCTTTCCACCTGTCATCTCAGTAATTTGTCTGGATGGCACATTCATAGGAATCCTCATTTTTTTAATTTGCTTTTTTAAAATGCAGGATTGATTCTCCCAGATGTATGAAGGAAGGAAAGGATAACTACAGAACAAGAAGTTGCTGGAATTCTTTCATGCTACCTCCTGGAAGGTAAGAGTAGTTATGCAGTGCCTTAGGAAACCCTTTCTTCCACTATTGATTGATCACCTTTGTATAGTTGATAAAAGAGAAATGAAAATGTGAAATATAGAGGTTTGCACTAACCTCTAGTGCAATAGTGCACTAGGCCTCAAAATGTGCTTGTGTGTAGCCTCTCCAGGTCAGGTACTACATCTTCCCTGTGATGAGATTCATTGTTTTCCCACTTCCTCTGTGCCCGCCCTTGAGCTCTGCCTTCAGATTTGCTGTCACATAGCACCATCTTCATAAAACATTAGGAATTTTCCCCAGCCTCAGCTATTGCATGTGTGACTTCATCCAGGAAAAGCCAAAGCATGACCTCTCTCACAGGTTTCCAAGGAAAGGGAAACAATGAACAGAAGTGATCTGTTGGTGAGAATTCTTTTTTTGTTACTCCCCTGCCCTAGTGTCACAATTTTTTTTTTGGTAGCTATTTATACACACTAAATGTAATGTTTACTGTTATGAAAGTCCATCTAGAAGCCAGAATACATAACTTTCTGTCTTTCCTGGAATAATAGGTACATTTTTTTATGGTTAAGGTAAAGGACTGGCTGAATTAGCTCACAGGTCTTGAGAGTTTTGTGTCTGCAGCTAGTTTCGAGTAACAGACATATATTGTGGTAGTATAATTGAAACTTCTTTACTGTCTGGGCAGCTCAGGATTATCAGGAAGACTAGAGGCAGGGAAGGGTGTGATGCATATGTTGAGAGTCAGCAGGGGTTTTAGGACAGAAAAGCAATTCCCATGGGAAAAGGTGCTATGCTCACCCTTGCTGACAAGGAAAGTGACCAATATTAAGAATTGTGGACAGCACACAAGAGGGATTTTGTGGTTATTTTAAAGCTGGCAGTTTGGGATTCATGATGATCCCTGGCTCAAACATTTTTGACCTGGTGCAGTGGGACTCATTCACCATCTGGTAGAACTATAGGCTTAATGCACCATCTTTATCTGACCCTTACATTGTACTGCAGGGATAAGGTCAGGAATTCTATGAAAAAGAAGACAAACTGTTTTTCTGGCATCACCTCCAGAAAACTAATGATAAAATCTGCTTAGTCCATTATTTGCTGTCAAGTAAGAGGTGACTCTTTCTTCATGCTGTTAGTTCATAGAAGTAGTAACTACAGGTTTTGCCAAGGTTCAGTTACCAGATCTAATATCTGACCTGACTGAAAGCAAGCCAAATCTGAAAGGAAGATGCCAGGAAGTAGAATAATAGCAATAAGGCACAATACTTCAGCCAGATACGTTCCCAGACTATGTGTGTTTTCACTTTAGGGATTTCCTAAACCTGGTGTGATTGATCTAGTTAGTGACTGTCAACAGGTCTCTCTTCTAAATGCTTGTTCAGTCTCTCTTGAGAATTTTCTGCAGCTAAAAAGTCCTCAGGCAAGCAGCATTGTGGTCTGTAGGGATTGCCTAGAATTTAGCTTCTCTTAGCATAATTGATGGCTCCTTATTCTTGAATATCTGCGGAGACAGTGAAGAGGTTTTCATATCCATGCTATCAGACCTGTCTCTGTACCAGAGTGGAGAATCATAACTCTTTAAGACCTTGCATGGTGACCATTGTCCCCATCCACATGCAAGAGATGTGTCAGGAACACATTGCTTACCCATAAAAATGCATGTGTTTCTCAACCTGAAACTTCATCAGCAGGCTAGTGGATTCCTAAATGAACTCACTGCCTTCAGCACTTTTCTTCTCTCAAAACTCTAAAATACAAAGAACAGTAGTTTTTTGTTACTCCCTGTTCTTGTGTCTGCTTTGAAAAGAAACACTTTAAAAGGCCAGTTAGTAAAAGTCTTGGCAGCACTCAGATTTCAGTCTTGCCTAAAGTGAATCACCACCTTTTGACTCACAGCTATCACTTCCTTTGTTGCCTGAATTTCTTAATCTTTCACCTCACATTGGTTTAGGTCTGTGAATGGTTAAATGTCACCAAAGCGGAAATATCATGCCAGAGATGAGCCTGAGGACTTTAGAGACAAATCTAGGCAGGAATACGGAAACTGGGCTGGAGTAGAGAAGTGGAGCAAGCCTCCTACCCTACAAGATAGGAGTACTTTGAGGAGAGCAGAAGTAGAGGCAGAAAGCAGAATCTTCTGGGGAAAGGTTGGGATAGTTTGCTTGGACACTCTAATGGTTTTTAAAATTTAGTTTTCCAAAGCAGGCTGAACTCCTGCCAGGGAGTCCTCTTGGGTAAGTGTGGGTTGCAAGGACTTTAATGGATTTGAGTCAGTGTATTGAAAACAACAGAGTCAAATTCTAACTGATGCTAAAGCCTGTCAAAACTTATTCTGTACAACTCCCTACCAGAGATTTAAAAAATGCTGATAAGGTGTAGGATGTTGTAGGGCAGCTGCACCATCTCATCATTAGACTTCCTTTTTTTGTCTGTTTATAAAAGTTGGCCTTCTTGCCAGGGCCTGCCTTGTCATGAGTTTTGTGGGATTTCATTTTCTTTTCAGCTTTTAAATGAAATGGAGTGTCTTAGACAATACTGGATCTTAGCACTGCATTATCTTCCCCTTCTGGGACCTCTTCTATTTAATTTTTCTTCAGTGTAATAAACCCCATAGCCCTGTCCCAAGACCTTCCTTCTCCTGTTCCTTAAAACTCCCTTGAAAACCCCTGTCACATGTTCATCACTGGTTTTCCCCGTGGGTCCCATGTCTGCTGCTAATAGAAGTCTTTACAGTTGCTGTACTGAGACTACTTTTCATGAGAGAGCTATTTTCTACTCATTTGTGTATAGCACTCCTGCAGCTTTTTCTCTCCCACAAGTTTTAAACCTCTTCTCTCTTCTGGACTTCCTCATTCTCCACTAATGTCAGATATGACCTGTCACACAAGCATGGTGCCTCTTTTGTTATATTTAGCTATAAGAAGAGACACTGGACATCAAATATTAACCTCTCGTGGAGCATTATTTTGTCCAATGTAACAGAAAAGTGAGTTAATTTTAATAGCATTGTAGCATTTCTCTAGGTAATTCAAACTATATACAGTACTCTCTATTAGACTGCGGAATTGTGGAAGATACTGTTCTTAAACATATTGATTCATTCCTGTTATATTTCCATGGAAGTTTTCTCACAGGACTATAGTGATAGTATCTACTGGATGACTTTGAGGGCTTCATGAAAGCATGAGCATTTTAGAGAGCAGACACCTTTACTGAAGAATAATCTTACAATATAGAAAATAGGCAAGGTTCTTTAAATCTTGTAATTTTTAAACTGACTGATTTCTTGCTAATTTGAAGGCAATGTTATCTGAGGCTTAGATATTTCACTTACACTTGTAAAAGACGAATTCCTTAATCATTCTGTATGTCTTAATGTTTGCTGTATAATTTTTTGTGTAATTTTTGACAAGTTCTCCATCAACTCAGGTAGCAGGTTACAGCTTGCATTGAACATTTTTATATATTTGATTGACTTGTTTAATGCTGAAATCTTTGGATCATGAAAGCTGTTTTCCCACTAGCATGTTTTCCAGCCCTTCTGGAAGTACTGGAAAGTGAGCTCTAACAGCTGTCGACCCTTAGTCTGGGAAGTTTCTTCATTTAAAGTACAAAACCCTGGGCTTATTCTGCAAGGGAGACCTACTGGATCCCTGAAGTGTTTGGTTGTTATTTCGTGAGTTCAGAAACTGTTGAGTTTCGATGCAATTCTTTTTCTGAAAGTTTTCTCCGTATTGTCAGTACGGTGATGACAAAAGATAAAACATATATTTTATCTTTATGTTCTTTGTTTTGTCTCTGTATCTTCTTTTGTACTTGTAAATCAAGCCACTGCCGCACAGAGGATTGTGGGACACACACTGGTGGTTGTGGTTCCACTACTGCTGACCTGGTATTCAGCATATGGTCTTGTGGGTGATTAGTGGGGGGATTATTCTATCAAGGAACAAGTCAGAGTGTCTACCAGGAGCAGGCTTAAAGGAAGCCTTAAAGGCTTAAAGGCTTAAAGAAAGCAAAGGCCAGTTTTTTTACACAGCACAGTTGAAATAAACTGAGACTGAGAGGCACGGGGTGTTACAGAGACCAGGGGTGTAAATGAGCTTAGAAAAGGAACTAAGAAAATTGTAGAAAAGCTTTTAAATCCACAGACGTAAAATGAGCTTCTGGCTCTGTCTGTCCCTGAGCAGCCAATTAGCAGATCTCACTATGATGTATTAGAAGAAGAGTAAATCTTGCCCCATTTTTTGTATTCTTTCCCAAAATACCCATTACTGGCCACTGTCAGAGGAAGGAGACTGGCTTTTTATAGGTTTGGTCTGATACACTGTGTCTCTCTTTTAAGTCACTGACCCCCAACATCTGGGAAGCAGGATGCAGGATTCAAGGCTGAGCACACATTTTCTAGTGTGCAGAAAAAAAGGTGAAAGTCATGTCCTCAGCCACACCACAACCTGCTCTCACTTTGTTAATATGCAAGGTTAATCAACATAAGCACATCTGCTGGACCTAAACACACTCCCTAGACTAAGAGTAGAAATGCATTAGATCCTGGGATGGTTTGAGAAGAAATAAAAAAATAACATCAAATTACTCTTAAATCTGCTGTGTTCTTATTTAGTTAGCTCAAAATATTCAGGGATAGCAAGAAAAATTATGGCTTCCAATGTAGTCCAATGCCAGGAATGTAATCCACAGTTTGTTCTTAATCCCATGAGGATCCCCTCAAATGTTTCCAGTGCTTTTGGCAGGAAAATTAAATTAAAAAAATCTAGGATGCTTGCCTGTAGGGAGCGCTGCCGGCTCCAGGACCGTTTAGGTGAATGGAGATGACAGATCTCTGAAGGTTGCTCTTGGGGTATAAGGTTTATTGGGGATGCAGAAAGGTCCTGCCTCGAGCTGCCAGACGCAGCACCTGGCGAGGCTTGAGAGGATGGGGAGGGGAGAGACAAAAGGAAGCTCTAGGAGAGGGGAAGTTCCAAGAGGGTGTCCGGCCC